AAAAAAAATAAATGATAGGTTTCAGGTTTCACAACACCTGGACACATCCCTCTTGATCGGCACCAAAGGCTTCTAATACTAAATGTACCCAATGCTGAGACTTAGTGTGGTATTGGTCGATTGTCTAGAGAATATTGGCTTTTCCACTTTACATAAAATATCTGTTGGCCATCCCTCCTTCTTCTATGTCCTATAAATTAACAAAATTTTAGTATTCTTTCTTTCTTCTCTAGCCTCCATGTTGTTTCATATTCTTCTCTAATTGTTCAATCATAAGTTTTAGCTGTTTAACATCTTAAATTTCTATTTGACATGTCAGTGCATACCTGTGTACACTTGAATATTTAGAACTCTGGGATGAGGTTTGGGTGTAATATATGCATTGGAGTTCATTAGGATAAAAATGTTGGTATTCCTAGTATATGAGAGTGGACAAGACCGATTACACTGGGAATTTCTGGCCTTAGGTAAGAGCAAGGGGTCATTTACCAGGATGGGGCTGTAGTGGATATTTGCAGTGCTGAGCTAGTTTGTTAATAGGAAATAAAATCACTACCTAAGAGTGACAATGAGAAGAATATGTTAACTTTCAGAAAATAAAAGAGTTTAATATAGGTCTTAGTAGATTAGGCAAGCAGATGGACTTAATAAATATAGTATGACTACAAGGCAAAATTAAAGACTTTTTGAAGTTTAGTCTAGACTTCAAGACATCATGCGTCTTTTTCCAATTACATTCACTTCCAGTGACATGCTAGCAAGTTAGATCTCAGGTAAACAGGAAAACAAAAGCAGTGTCATAGTGTAGACATGTGTGTGGTGACTGACTATGGACCTTTATGTAATCTTCTACTCAAGTCCCTCTCTTTTTCCCCACACCTCTCCATCCCTTGTTTTGAACATGTCATCTCTGACCAGTATCTTTGCAGCAGTTCCTGGTATGCCCCTCTCTGACCCTTCCTGTCACATCTCACATTGGACCTAGAAGGCCTTTTTTTTTAATGTCCAAGGAAGTTTTATATATTTATTTTTATTCTGTTCAAGTACAGTTGCCTCCATTCCTCCCCTATTCCCCCCATCCCACCCATCCCCACCTGCCACCCTTGATCTCATCCCACTTTGGATTTGTCCGTGTGTCCTTTATACATGTTCCTTGATGACCCTTCCCCTTTCTTCCCACTATTGCCCTCTCCCCTCCCCTCTGGTTACTGTCAGTTTGTTCTTTATTTCAATGTCTCTGGTTATGTTTTGCTTGCTTGTTTGTTTTGTTTTGCTTGATCTCACCACTTATAGGTGAGATCATATGGTAACTGTCTTTCACCACTGGACCTAGAAGACCCTTTTTAAAAAGGTAATCCCTGTCACTAGTCATGCTTGGAATACTTCAGTGGATCTCTTTTTTTTCAAGTAAAGTTCATATTCCTTATTATTTTTTTTTAACAGTTTTCCCCCACGCAAACATTAACACAATCCCCTACCTAAGCAATCCATAGCCAAGCTGAATGTTTTATAGATGTTTTATAGTTGTTTAAGTGTACACTTCTTTATACACTTTGGCATGTTTACACATTATATCTTATGCACAGAAAGCTTTTTTCTCATCCCACTCACCAAACTCCATCCCCAACCTAAACATATCGTCATCTGTTGAGTCCTTTAATAATCATTTATATTTTAATTTTATTTAAGGTCTTCTCCACAATGTCTTTACTAAGTTCCTTTGCTGCCAGGGTTTTTGTTAGCTTAAGCTCCCTATACAGTAGTATGGAATCTCTAACTTAATGGCATGTTTGACATCTAAAGAGTACTTATTAAATATTTATAATATGAATTAACAAAAAAATTCACAAATTAATTAATAAACTGCTAATCTTTACAATAACCTATATATGCTTAATTAGCCCCATTGAACAAATGAAAGTAGAGGTTATGCTGACTAATAGATTTATGAAGGATAATGTCATATCTTTTTTGTAAAGGGATTATCTCTCATCAGTACCAGGCCAGGTTTCTCATTCTCATCTTTTCAACCTATCAATGTTTATAGTGTGAGAGAGAAAGGGGAAACATAATATAACATGTAAACACATAGATTGAGACAGACTGCAAAATTTAAATTCTTAGAACTAACATTTACTAGTTATATTTTCTTGAGCTATTTACTTAAACTTTTCTGCCTCAGTTTTCATATCTTTAAAATGAGAATATTAACTTCCTCATAGCAGTGTTGTAATGATTAAATAAATTATTACATAAGATGCTTAGAGCAATAATTGGTACATACATATGAGCTATATATACTGTATAATGATTATTTCTTCATTTTTGTTATAACAGAGGGTTTTCCCAATTAGTGGTTCCAGGTGAGATATTCTATGATCCAAATCAATAAACTATACTTTTAAATTTGTTTTATTTAAAGAGTCATTCTCTGGAGAAAGAAATCTACAACTCACACTTGATGGGAACTTCTACCTCACAGTGGTAGCTGGCTGGTTATTAGAAGCTCCGTTTGAGATTTGCTACCCAAACAGAAATATCTGAGACTAGGCTTTTTGTCAAACTAATGATCATCCTGGCACTGATATGCATGTGGGAAAATAATTCATCTAGCAACAAGTCTTATGCCTACTCCTCTGTCTTTATGCTATATAAAATATTCTTTTGGGAAAGAAAATCTTCAATGCATAATTCTATATGTCAACTATAAATCCATAAAGCATAGAACATTAGTGTTTTATTCAATGATGGCAGAAACATTTCTTATTTACATATAATAAGTGAGAGTAGATTTGTATCTTATTCAACGTCAAAAATATTTATCTACAAGGCTCCTAAATCTATGTAAATACTTTCCAAAGCAACTAATAAACTTCAGGTAAATTTTATGTAGAAAAAGAGAAGTACTCTTTAATTTTAATTTGAGCAGAATGCAAATACTTGGGCACTTCCAGGTACTTGTGATAGTATTATATACTATTATGGACTTTCCTGTAGGCAATTTAGACATATAAACATTGTCAGTATATTAAAATATTTTCCACCCAGGAATTCCTAAACTTGGAATTTATATTAAAGAAAGCTACTTGAATGTTATATAATAGCCTATGGGCAAAGATCAATTCTTTACTACCTATTTTTTCTCCGTTTATATTTACTTAGACTGCCACCCTAATAAAATGTAAGCTCAATGAAAGCAGAATGTTTTTCCTGTCTTTTCTTTCAAGCCATAACAAGTGTTTAGCAGATTACCTGGTATACAGTGATAATCAAGGTTTATCTATTAAATATCAAAGAATGATCATTTAGATATGTCTGGTAGACTAAGTATCTAAACTACTAAATAAATATGGCCAAATAATTGGATAGATAACAACTACAAGGAAAAAATCACAGTATTTTTAAAATAATATTACTTTACATTTTAAATTCAAGACATTTTTACATAAAAACAGATTACAAACTATATAATCTTAACTTGCAAAAAAATAAAAATAAAAGTGTTTATAGGAACCAGAGATAATGCATATTGTCTCCTTTAAAATTGTCCTTATTTAAAGTATTATAATAAACTACACTATTTTTGAATGTTTAGATCTTTCTTTTTCCAAAAAGAAGTTTACAAAGGTTAAACTGGAAAGAGTTGAAAAATAAATCTAAATAAGAATATAGAAATGCATACTAGATGTGAAAGTTATATTAATGTATGAAAAAGATATTTAAGTATGATAAGAAAATGGACACATATCACTGATTTGTTAGGGTAGTTTCTGGATTTCTGTTTTTCTTTATTTTTCCTTTTTCTCTGTTTCTCTTTTTTTGTTCCTTTCTTCCCTCCCTCCCTTGCTTCCATCTTTCCTTCCTCTCTCTTTATTCTTTCTTTTTAATTATACCAACATTTCTTTTCTTTGTTCTTTTCTTTTTCTTTTTTTGCTAACAATTCAGTTAGAAAGCTATCTTATTAGCCATTTTGGTAATTATTTCAGATAACTGAAGTTGAGTATGGTCTCTTTTTCCTTCAGATACTTGTACATCTTTTAGAAGTCTCCAGAGCTTTTTTACTAACAATAAGTTCAAGCGTATCAAAGTTACTCTTCCACCATTAGTCCCACAATATAATTAAAACCATGAACAGTGATGAACAAGCAATGGCCTATATTTTCTTTAGCTCTGTGTTATTGTAAATGTCAAATGTAAGCTAGAGATTTTTATACAGCAAAAAAATTATGAACATTTTTGAGGTAATCATTTTTCTTCATCTCTACTTTCAGACACATTTGATAAATTTCATTTTCTTTCAAACGTTCCAGCATTTTCTATGTTACTCAATCTTTAACTGGAAGGGAAATAATTGACGTAAAATGCAAGGAATGTAGTTCTCCTTGATTACACAAGCAAGATCAACTCTAACAAGGAATAATAAGCAATCTCTAGTACTTCCAAGCCCACAGATCCTAGAGTAGAAACTGAATGTTTAAAGAATTCTTGATGATTTTCTATTTCAACAATTTTATGTATAGCAGAGGCAAATAATTAAAAACAATTGTATATTGTTTTGCATACTTAAAGTGTTAACCTAACTCTGATAATTTAAAAAGAAACAATCTTTCTTCAAATATGCCTTTATATTTTCTGTATTTTCTAAATCCAAATTTTATCCAAATCTTTTTTTCCTGTATTTTATTCAGCAGGAAACTATGGTAATAATTAAGGTTTAAATGAAGACAATTTCCAGTTGAACTTTTTACTTCTTCCTCAGTGGATTTCTGTCACACTTCTCCTTGTTCCTGCCCCAGACTGAGGGATGCAGAATCTGCTCAGCAATTATGTAGTCCAATACAAGGGTGCCAACACATTTTTCTGCCATACATATATCTATTGCGTGTATTTATCTTATATTTCTTTTTCTATCCATGCATTTCTTCTCAAGAATTACTTATGACCCCAGAACTGTTTGCTGAGGACAAACCATTAAAATATTCACTACTTATTAATCATACCTTGAGAATCTTGCACATAATCTCATAAACTGAAAATGTTTTTTCGGCTCGAGTCCAGTCCCACGTTGTCACCTTTAAAAGATGAGAAACGAATATGCTATTTGTTTTAGAAAGATAGCTCTTATTCCCTTTTATGCTATTTATATACTACGGTGCATAAGGGAATCTGTCATATGTACTATACAGTCTGTCAGTTGTGAAGTTACACTCATAAAGGTCAATATAGAATGTTGCAGTTTCCTTTCTTCTAAGCTTTATCACCATTTCTCTTCCTCTTTCAGCAAATATGTCATATTACATGCGACAGGCTCCATTTGCTCAGTATCCTTACATATTTTAAATAATGTGTGTTTTCTTTATATATAAATATTGAGTATTTCTATTTCATATATATGTGAAAAATACTCAATATTTATATATTATGTAAATAATTATGTATTAACTGGTGATAAACTAATATATTTATATAAATAGATAATTTATATATTTATTTACATATAATTTTCATATTTATATAAATTATATAAATATAAGTTTGTATATAGACTAATACATATGTTTACCAATATATTAGTTTATATAAATATATTACTTATATAAATATTAGCAGTAAACTAATGTATATTAATTTATAGAAATATATTAATTTTATTATATATTATTATATATTATATATTAATTATATATAATAATTATATTATATTATAATATAAATATAATACATTATATTTATATACTATATTTATATAAACTAATACACATTAGTTTACTACTAGTTACCTCCAAAGAAAAATATTAGATAATAACACTGGCTTTAACTTTTAAAAAAGACACAATTTATAGTAGAAGTCATTCCAAGATGTGAACACTTTACAAAATTATGATGATACCAAACACTATAATGAAATTGTTTCATTATTGAAGTTTGAACCATATATCTGCCCGGTCATAAGAAATTATTCAGAATAGTAATACAGTAAAAAATATAAATATTATTGGATTTTTACCTGCCTTCTTGATGTTTAGAAATTGTATTGACAGACATTCAAAATAGCAGCAAGTCTGACTTGATAATTCCAAGATCTAATCCATTTTTTAGACCTGTAAGTGAGTGGTCTGGCATTTGGTATTTATTTTCAATAAATATTTATTAAGAACTTACTATTGGGTTAGGTACATCTTTCCAAAAGTAAGACATTAAGTGCAATAGGTATCCATACATATATAATACAAAGCCCAATGACTTGTATATGGGATATCAAAAACACTACTGATTTGATGTAGGCAGACCTGGGTCATATCAACATATTTTGACTGTCATAAATACCTAAATAGAAAAAGTTACTAGATTTTTCAAGATTTATAAGTTAGTGCTTAATGCCAGAATTTATATATTTAGTGAAATACCGGCTCTGGCACAAATAACGCCCCCTTTTTTATTACAAAATCTTTATTAGAAAATCATAAGCATGCAATTCTGTAACATAATAACACTACACTCAAGCATACCATAGGACCTTTTTAGGTGAATGTTCAAATTAAAACTATAAATTATTACACCCATATTATTATACTACCAACCATACTCAAGCAGGTGTTACCTCTGCCGGGCCCTATATATTCAAAAAAACATTTGGACTGTTTTCTATTTTTTTCTGTATCTTATTTTCAAAATATATCGGTTACATGCAATATATTATCATTAAGTTGATGTTACTCTTTTGTGATAATATGGGAAAAATAAGTGTTTGACAAATACACCTACCGGGGGTGCCAGAAACTTGTAAAGGCAGGAGCCCCTCAGAGCCAGAAATATTGGAGAGTATGCACAATCTGGAAGGGGATCCTGTTCCCGTGCTTCACACCAGCCCATGTAGACTATCTGCAGGGAAATTGAATATAATTACTGCCAACAAAGTCTCATATCAGATGTATTATGTGTATTTTTCTTATCTGTAATATCTTAAAGCTCTAATAAAGTTATCAAATTAATTAATGCAAAAGCACATTAACCAGCTTTACCTTCAATAAACATATGTGAGCCACTCATAATAATTTATAATCTGTTTCCACCACCACTTACCTAGCATTAATTTGTGCAATCCAGCTTTGCATGAATTATGTCTCCCTCTTTATACCATTTGTACTAGGAAAATATTAATTTGTAATAGAATTTATTGACTTGTACCATCTGTTTTCCATAGTGACATTTCATTATCTAGGAATGTGATACCAGGATAAAATATTCCAGTGGGTAAGGAGATAAACCAAAGAGAGATACTTGATGTTATTTCCACTAGTGTGGTGTACCAATTTTTCCCTGTGCCTCTCTTGATTTAGTCACTGATCTAAGATGAATCAAGTTTGTTCAAGATTATTCATATATCAAACGGCAGCAACAAGAGCTCTTTTAATTTAGATGGATCAATTTCCAAAATAAAATTATGCAGTTACTCCTCTTTCCATCATTTGATAGTTGTGAAAGTCAAACATGTACACAAACATTTATTAAATGAGTATTACATTCTTAAAATGTATTTATATAATTTCACTTATCTCTTACCACAATCTATGTGGTAGAGGTACCTGGGAGAATATATTTTCCACCACATGTTTGCAGAAGGAAGAGTTAGATTGATAACTAAATCTCAACAGAAACCATGAAATGCAAAATATTATAGAACATAAACTTAAAAGGTATAGAATGAAAGTAATAGCCAGCCCAGAACCTCATCCAGAGCAAAATTCTCTAAGTTGAAGGTAAAATTTACACTTCTGTAACATATTGACTTAACATTCTAAAATCAGCACTAAAGAAAAAATTAGATACTTCTGAGAGAAAAAAATAGACAAAGGGTTGAAATATTTGTGTAAATTTATTAATAATTTTAGCATAACAAAATACTAAAATTTAGGAGATAGTTTTGGTTAAAATATTTAAGGTCCTGCATTATATGGGGAAATTATATAAGAAATATTTAACATTATGATTTAGTAGTCTACATTTTGTAATATCTAAAGTATTTCGGTGATAATGATAATCTCTAAAGTAACCTCTTTGCAAAAGGGTATAAGAGAGTAAGCAGCAGTTCCGAAACTTTGGAATTGCATCCTTTGTTATTCTTAACTAGAAGATCTTGATTGTTTCATAATACAGTTATGTTTTTAATATTTACCATGTCAGAAAATAAAACTATAAATTTAAAAATTATTAAAAGTATAAAAGGAAAGATGACAGTGAAAAATATAAAACTCCACAATAAATGGGAAAAACACAAATACTAATCAATACTCAAAAGAAAATGTAAAAGAAATAAAAGGAAAAAGAATTAATAAAAGGTATAATATATAATAATGTTACAACTAATAAAGTATAATATATAATAAGGTTACAGAATGTAACCAAAATATGGTAATAACTATACTACACATAAGTAGAATAAATGTATTCTATAGATATTTTCACTTGCATACACACACACATGCACACGAACCCTATATTCATTTTGTATAAGGCACATCTAGGAGTACAGAAAGTTTTTAAAGAAAGGAATGAAAAATTATAACAAAAATACACTTGCTTAACAATGCAAATATTAGAAAATATAAACTTAAGGTAAGAATTATTACTAGAAATAAAGTGGAAAATTTCATAATGATGCAGTGTCAAATCTAAAAGACTCCATAGTAATGTTTAGATTTCATATATCTGATAACCTAATTTTAAAGGCTATAAATAACAAATTGCCAGAACAATAACAAAATAAATGGACAAAATGATAATCATGAAAGGAGAGTTTAACAGAATTCAATAAATAAGTAATCAAATAAAAGTAAAAAAAATCTATCAAATTATGGAAATTTTGAACAATATAATTAATAAAATTTGTCTAATTGGCATTTAGGACAAGAGACACAACAAAAATTGAATACACTTTTTTTTTAAGTTTACTGGAAACTGCAAGAAATTATTTTTTTTGGCGATAAAGGTAGTCTCAAATAAGCATTATTATTTAATAATGTGTTGTGTCCTAAATATCAATAGAATTAAATTTGAGAGCAATATTTAAAGATAACTAGAATACCCACCCCCAAATATTTAGAAATTAAGTAATAAATGTCCACAGGTTAAAGAAAAATCACAAAGAAAGTTAAAAAACAGTTTGACTTAAATGACAAGGAAAATTTGATATATTAAACTTGAGAGACTCAGCAAAAGCTAGTCTTAGAATTTTAATCTATGTGTGTGTATCTGAAAATTCTTAAGTTAATAAACTGGGAATTTCAATCAAGAAGTTAGAAAGTATTGGGTTGGTCAAAAAGTCCGTTCTTTATTTTTCCTCTCCATTCGATGGCTCTCGTAGGGCTTAGTTGTCTTTAACTTAATTTGAAAAAATCTTTGTTAGATTGTTTTGCACAGTTCTTATATCAGCATTAAAAAAACATCAAAATTGGTGAATTTTTGCAGTAATTTTAATATTGAAGATGGAAGAAAATATGCAGCATTTTGGGTGTATTATGCTGTTTATAATTTTAAGAATGGTAAATAAATGTAACTAAAATGTAAAAAATGATTTGTGAGTATATGGAGAGAGGTACTGTGACTGAGTGAAAGTGTCAAAAGTAGTTTGCGAAGTTTCTTGGTACCATTGGCATTTTTGTCAAATAATTCTTTGCTGTGGGGCTGTCTTATGAATTGGAATGTTTAGCAGCACCCCTGGCCTCTAACCACGAGAAGCCAATAGCAGGAGATAGCAGACATATTCAAATTATTCACATCAATACAGTTATTAGTGTAAATGAAAAATGTATCTTTTATTTTAGGGAAATAAGCTGAATGGTCTTTTTGGCCAATCTAATATTAAAAGGTGAGAGAGAAAGACAAATTTAGAGAGAGAGCGTGAGAGAGCGCTCCAAAAACAAAGTAAAAAAGAAATAAAATACTGGATGTAGTCATTCATGAAATGGAAATGTACAGTAGATATTCATCAGAAGCAAAAATATTATTTAATAAACACTAATAAGATGAATACTTATGTCAGAAGAAGTCATAAATTACTAACATCCACAATATCAGAGCCTACAGACATAATCATGTTAAAATGATGTTATAAACAACAGTTTTCAAATTTTAAAATTTTAATGAAATATACTAATCCCTAGAAAAATATCAGGACAGATGCAAGAAGAAATTTTTTAAATGATCAATCTTGTAGTTATTTAAGCAATTTGATCTGTAATTTAAATATCTCAAAAATAAAATTTAGAGTTCTGTTTAATTTACCTTGTGATCTCTACTTAACAGTTAAGAAAAAATAAACCAAATATTTGTAAAGTCCTCAGAGAAAAGAATAACAGAATGATCACTCCACAACACAATTTATGAGGCCAACCTGACCTTAAAAGCAAATCTGACAGGGATAGCCAATATGAAAAAGGAAATTTATATTTCATCATTTTAAATACAACAGATGCAAATTTATTAATCAAATAAATTTAGTGATATTTAAAAGCATCAGTACAATTTCCCACATAAACAGAATTAAGGATTAAAATTGTGTAGCTACTCTGATGTACACCTGTAACTAATAAAAATAATTTTAAATGCAAATTTCAGGTGAAAAATATATTTAAAAAATCAATAAAGTATCTAAAAATGTAAAAAACCTTTTAGTGTAATCCAACATCTATTCATAACAAAGACTCTATTAATATTCAATAAAACTTTTTAATCTAAGCAAAGATATTTATATAAAAGAAAGAACACCGCACTTAATGGTTAATTGTTGAAAATATCCCCTTGAGATCAGTAACAGTACAGGAATATTCACTACTATCATTAAAAATCAACCATAAATTTAAGATTTTACCCAATGTTTTGTGGAAAAAAATACAAGTGGTAGATTTAAGAAAAAGAAAAAAATCATCATTATATTATAAATTGAATTTGTGTATAAAAATATAAAATAATTTTAAAATAAAGAACTAGAGGTCTCCTTAAAGGAAAGAAGAATGCAGATAATAGAAGGTGGGAGTGATGCTGCAAGTTTTATTTACATCACAATTATTTTTACATCTACATGCAACTATATGGTTATGAAATAGTCTTAATCAAGAATAGTCTTTGATGACTATGTTTTACTTAAAATTATAGTTAGTCACAGTTGACCATTGAATTATATAAAGTTTTAATTACTTTTGGATTATAAAACTATACATTTAAATTTTCCATTAAGATATTGAATTTTTTGGTAACAAAATGTCATATTTTTAAAACTACAATTTATAATGTGCTATAAAATAGCATAAATGTTACTTGTCCTTGGATCTTGCATTGATTCAATATGTAAAAACAGTTGTCAGAATTTGAGTTGATTTATTTTAATTTAAGAAATGTGGTCATTTTGAAGATTGTCCTGGAATTTGACTCATTCCTAATGTTTGATCTTTAAAATTAAAAAGAAAAAGAACTATAAAAAGTTTGTAAGTTTGTCAATGTTTCTCATACAAAATTATAACTCAGAAATAAATGATATTACTGAGTATCCCAAATATTAAAAAATAAGATTTTAAAATGAGAAAATGACAATAATATGAAATAAGAAAAAGAGAGACAGATAAGCATATTAATGATTCATTTCCTACAGGAAATTTTGGTTATTCAACTCATACGATATATTCACCTTAAGTGTTCATAAAAGAAATGCTGGTAGCTTTATTGAGGTATACTTGACATATAAAAATTGTATTTATTTTAGGTTTAAAAGATGATGTTTCTCTTTCTCCCTCTTTTCCACTGGCAAAAAACAAAAACAAAAACAAAAAAAACCCCAAAAACCCAAAAACCAACAACAACTCCATGAGATACAAAGTAATACAATT